TCTGTCAAACCCACCGAGTCACAACACCAGGCAGTCAGTAACAATGCATCCTAGGGTGGAACTGGTACATCTGGGACTTAACACAAGTAAGAACAGAAGGTACAAGCAAGTTCCATGAGCTGGCAGCCTAGACCCCCATGAACACCACTACTACATTGGCACCCCTCCCGTGGTGCACCCTTCTGGTTGTATGCAGGATCCTTTATGACCAGCTGACAAGAGGAGGAAAAATCCTGTACTTGGTCGATGGAGGGTCTGCTAAGTATGTGAGTTCAAGCTGAAAATAGATGGCAGTTGCATTATAGCCCCACTTAGGGACAGCCTTGAAAGACAACAGTGGAGGAAAATCCCCATGGGCAGAGCTTCAGGAGGTGCACTTGGCCATCCATTCTTCCTGCACAGAGAGGCATCTCAAGCATAGAATATCTATGTACTCAGTGGCAGTGAGGAATGGCCTACCTGGCTAGCCAGGGCCCTGGAAGAAGAAAGGTTGCAATGGAAGATGGGAGAACAGGGAGGTCTGGGGTAGGGGCATGAGGATAGATGTCTGGAGTGGGCACCAAGTATGAAGATCTTTGTATTACATGTTAACACCCACCAGAAACCACCCACCACTGAAAAGCCACCATGTAACTAAGAAGACAAAAATATCTGGGCCAGTTGACCTTAGCTGGCCTCTGTCATCAGCCACCCAGTGCTGGCACTAAGGGCACATGCATGAAATGACTACAGTGGCAGAGACAGAGGCCGTAGCAGCCTAATAGCATGGGCTCCCACTTACAAAGGCTGATTGAGCTACTGCTGCTGCTGAATGAGCCCCCAATATGACACCATTCCTCCAGGAGACTAGCTGGCTCCATGGTGCAAGTTGACCACATGGAACCCCTTCTATCTGGGAAAAGGCAAGATTCATCCTAACCACATGGAACCCCTTTCCTCTGAAAAAAGTCGAGATTCACCATGTCAAGAAAACACACATATTCTGGGTACTATTCACCTTTCCTGTCCTCAGGACCTTAGTCAGCACCACTATTTGAGGGCTTATCGAGTATCTGATTCACTGTCACAGGATCCCACATAACATCCCATCAGGCCAGGGACCCAATTTACTGCAATGGAGGTGCAGAAATGAGTCCATGATCAGAGGATTCCCTAAGCAATTCACAGGCTGGATCATCCAGACCCTGCCAGCTTGACAGGATATTGGAATGGCTGCTGAAGGCCCACTGGAAGCAGTAGCTTGGAGGTAGCACTTGATAAGGGTGGGTTCATCTTCAAGGATGCTCCTTGAACCAAAAACCTTTATATAGTGCTGGGACCTGCAAGGTTAGAGGTCTTTGTCCCCAATGGGGGAATCTTTCACCAGAGGATACAGCAAGAGTCCCATTGAGCTACAAGCTACAGTTGCCACCTGGGCACCTTGTACCAGAAGACCAGAAGGGGAGTCATCTTGGCTAAGAGTAATCCACTTGGGTGCCTCTGAATCCTCCATTGCCCAATTATGACAATAAACAGGCTTGGAAAGGGCATGCTGGTCAGGGGTTGAGATTCTCAGTTCATGAGGCAGGACGGAGGCATTAGCCACTCAGACCAGGGGAGGTGCTAGCTGGGGGAGGGGGAGATTTAGAATGGATACTGAGGAAGGAGATGATGAATACCAGTTGTGACCCCCAGAGACCTGCAGCAGCTGGGGCTATAGTTTGTCCCAGGGACCTTTCTCTTCCAAGTTTCCAGCAGGAATCCTGGAGGAGTCGCTCCTGAAATTGACCTGTGGAGGAGAAAGAGGTGTTGCTCCAAATATGCTGGAATCATCTTCAAGGGTTGGCTGTGGCAGTCCTTGAATCCTTCCTCCACCCTCTCTTTTCTGCCCTTTCTTCTTTGGACAAATATTTACTTTCTTTTTTTCTTTTTTTTTGAGATGGAGTCTTGCTCTGTCATCCAGGCTGGAGTGTAGTGGTGTAATCTTGGCTCACTGCAATCGCTGCCTCCCAGGTTCAAGTGATTCTCATGCCTCAGCCACTCGAGTAGGTAGTATTACAGGAACACACTACCACACTTAGTTAATTTTTGTATTTTTAGTAGTACCTGAGGGGGGGTCTCGCCATGTTGGCCAGGCTGGTCTTGAACCCCTGACCTCAAGTGATCCGCCCACCTCGGCCTCCCAAAGTGCTAGGATACAGGTGTAAGTCATTGCACCTAGCCCATTGGACACATATTTCTATAAATGTTCGCTGAACGTCTAAAAATAAGAACCAGAAAAATAGGCTGGGCACAGTGGCTCACGCCTGTAATTCCAGCACTTTGGGAGGCAGATCACCTGAGGTCAGGGTTTCGAGACCAACCTGACCAACATGGTGAAACGCCGTCTCTACTAAAAATACAAAAATTAGCTGGGCATGGTAGTGGGCACCCGTAATTCCAGCTACTCGGGAAGCTAAGGCAGGAGAATCGATTGAACACAGGACGTGGAGGTTGCAGTGAGCTGAGATCGCGCCACTGCACTCCAGCCTGGGCGACAAAGCGAGAATCCGTCTCAAAAATAAATAAAATAAAAATAAGTAAATAAAAGGAAACCATAGGTCCTGCCACCAAAGCAGCTCATAACGGAGTAGGAAAGTTGTATACCTCTAGGGAAAATCCTCTAATAGAAATGTCTTAGCACACACATTTCTCTGGTACATGACGTGGTTGTGATTGTAGAACTCTGATATCCCTTCATCCCAAAGACTCAGGGGGCATTTCATGTGTGATCAGAACAAGTCCGGTCAGGTGTCACAGACTTTGCCCATTTTCAGCCTCTCCCTCAGCTCTGACCTGCTCTACCAGGAACTCCCAGGGGCAACAAGCCTCTGCCATGCACAGCTGCTATTGATTTGCCCAAGCCTGGGAGCTGCTGAATCTGCCCAGTGGGGGCGGGGCGGGGAAGCCGCTCTTCCCTTGTGTTTTGCTTTGTCATGGGTGGGGAGGCAGGGAAGGAGGTTAGTTTGTAGCCCAGTCTTTTACATGGTTTTTAGTAAAATATCCTTTTCCGTTTTTACCAAAAGTACCCTTCCCTCTTCCTTCCACTCCCATAGGTCTCAGATTCTAGTCCAGTGTGGGACTGGGTTAGGAGGCAAATACAGTGAGACATGGAATACTAAATTGCCCCTCCCACAGGCAGATTGACTGGGGGGCAGGGGTCCACAGCTCTGTCTGTAACATGAGTTCAGACATGTTCACAGTGGGTGCGACTTAAGTTTAAGATGGGTCCTCACCTCCTTGTTCATAGAGCTAGCAGAGTGAAGAAGAGGAAAGGATTAATTCATCCTGGAAAATTGAGAAAGAGCTTACAAAAGAAACGTCACTTGAGCCAGGCATGGTGGCTCATGTCTGTAATCCCAGTACTTTGAGAGGCCAAGGTAGGAGGATCACTTGAGGCCAGGAGTTCGAGACCAGCCCTGGGTAACAGAGTGAGACCCTGCCCCTACAAAAAAAATAGCTGTGCATGGTGGCACATGACTGTAGTCCCAGCTACTTGGGAGGCTGAGGCAGGAAGATTGCTTGATCCCAGGAGTTCGAGACTGCAGTGAGCTGTGATGGCACCACTGCACTCCAGCCTGGGAAACAGAGACCTTGTCTTAAACAAAACAGAACAAAAGAATTGTCACTTGATCTGGGTTTTAAAGAGGCCTGTCAGATGGGGAAGGGAATTTCAGACAGAGGGAAGAGCTAAAGCACTGGGCCCTTAGAGAGATTGTTGGTTCAGACAAAGCTCTTGCTCCAGGGAATTTACACTCCAATGCGGGGAGATCTGCAATAAACAAACAAACACGTGCATCCTGTTAGGCAGTGATAAATGCCAAGAAGAAAAATCAAAAACCGTGATAGGGCATCTGGGAGTGGCATGGGTGCTATTTTAGGTAGAGAGGCCAAGGTCGGCCTTTCTGCAAATGTGTTTTTTGAGCAGAGACCTGAATGAAGTGAGGAAGTAAGCCACGTGGGTAACAAGAGAAGGGCATTTCAGGCAGAGGGAACAGCCAGAGTGCAAAGCTCTGAGAGGAGCAGGCTTGTGTGCTCAAGAAGGCCCGTGTGTCTGGGGCACAGTGAGAGAAGAGGGCAGTGGGAGGAGAGGGAGCCACCCTAGGGCTTTGAGCAGAGGTCATGATCAGTCCATCAGTTTGGAGAAGAGGCTTCTGGAAACATGGGTAGAAACATAAAGACCAGCTAGGAGGCTTTGCAATGATCCAGGCAAGAGATGACAGGGTCCTGAGTGAAGGTGGTACTGGCGGAGGAGCAAAGGGGTGTTGGAGAATATTGTTGGATTCTGGTTATATTTTGAAGGTAGAGTTAACGGGATTTGTTGATAGACTAGATAACATTGGAAAGGTAGGTTGTTGCTGAAATGGGAATTAAGACAATTTCTGAACATACCACTTCCTTTCTTAAAAATTTCGTGATAAAGTCCAGACTCATTAGCAGTCATTTATTCATTTGCTGATTCATTCAACACATACTGATTGAATGCCTAGTGAGGGCCAGGAATTGTGCTAGGTGTTGCAGGTAGACAGAAAATTTAAAAGTAGGGCATACTTTCTGCCCTTACAGATCTGTAGTCAGATGGGTGACACAGACAAGTACTTAGGTCATTACAACCCATGTGACAATTGCTACCATGGGGAAATACAGGGGGGAAATAGGGGCATATGGGAAAGGTATCTAATTGGAGTTAGCAAGGCTCCACTCACACCTTACCCCGAGATCAGCTCAGTTTTTCAGTTCACTCTAGTAATGCTGCCCATTGCGGGGCAGTGAGACAGTACAGTCTGAGCTCGGTCATCAGCGGGTGGCCAGCTTTGTCTCTGCAGCTCCGCGGCCCGGGCTTACTCGAAGGTCCCCTGGGAATAGCCTCACCTTTGCCCCACTTCCCAGTCTAGCCCCTAACTTCCCGCCGTCTATTGGCTGCGCAGCCGCCCAATGGGCAGGCGGGAACCGCGGGCTCGCGCTCCCAGCCTAGGGCGTCTGATCTCGTTCGCGCGTCTCGCGAGCATTAGGTGACTGGCTGAGGCGACGCCAGTTGGCCGGGCACGGGGTTGCTGTGAGGCCGAGGTTGCAGCGGAAGCAGAGAACATGTTCCGACCTGCGGCTCCGGGGCAGCTCCGACGGGCGGTGAGTCCGGACTGGGAAGGCGAACCCAGGGACGGTCCCCCGTCAACCCGCCGTCCCTATAGGGTCTTGCAAACGTCACCGCTCCCTCAGACCCGACCAGCCCACGCGCCCACAGGCCGGTCCCCGCCTGGGACTTGGGTCCAAAGTTCTGGGGCCTGCCCTGGACTCCTTCGGGGCCGCCAGTTCGGGGCAGAAGTCAGAGGTTGGGGGTCAGGGTGACTCCGAATGGTGTGAATTTGAGCGTCTGCTGCCCCTTCTAGCCCACTCTCTGCCCTGACGCTTCCCACATTTGTCGGTCACTCTGGACACTTTCGGGCCGCCAGGCCCTCCCCACTTGCTCCACACCCGAGGGAGCAAAATGTCGCCGGGGAATGCCCTGTTGGGGACAGTTTCAAACCTGGATTCCTCCCGGAGGCCAGCATTTCTGGAAGAATTAAACACTTTGGGCGCATTGTGGCCGCTCCGACCCACTCACTGTCACGGGCGGGGGTGGGGCGGGGGTGTGGGAGGCGGCGTGGCCAGTTATGGAAGCTGGCTCTGCTTTCTGGTTTATGGAGCAGGGCTGAGTTGAGGCGATTGTATTTGTAAAACCTGTGATCCGATTTGACAGCTTTAGCCAGTTTTGAAAGGCAGACGTCTTTTTATATGCTGCAGGCTGACCTGCTTTTAACCAGCAGATTGTAGGTTAAATAGCTTAACTGGTGACAGTGGTACATTTTCAGTGTTTCATTAGTGACAAACCACGTTTTTCTCTTCTGTTGTGAGAAGGACTGATAGGAAACATATTTTTGTTCTCATGATGTGGGAGAGTACTATTTGGAGACTGACCAGGCACAAGTCAAGTAACAATAATTTATATTGTGGATTCTGTAGTTTTCCTAGTTTACATTTAGGTGAAATGAGAAACAAGATTGGTAAACCTGGGTCAGAAACTTACCTGAGGTTTGTACCTTTTCTCCTTTTTTTTTTTTTTTTCTGTGCATGAATATTTTCCCATCCACTCCTGGGATTTTTCTCTCTGAGGCATAGCTGGAGCTCTTTCTAGATGTCTGTAGACATTAGACTTTTTTTAAAAATTTATTTAAGAGACAAGGTCTGACTCTGTTGCCCATGCTAGAGTGGAGTGCAGTGGCACGATATGGGCTCACTGCAACCTTCGCCTCCCGGGTTGAAGCGATTCTCCCACCTCAGCTTCCTGAGAAGCTGGGACCGCAGGTGTGCATCATCACTCCTGGCTAATTTTTTTTTTTTTTTTTTTTTTTTTTTTTTTTTTTTAAAGAGACGGGGTTTCGCCATATTGCCCAGGCTGGTCTTGAACTCTTGGCCTTAAGTATCCACTTGCCTCGGCCTCCGAAAGTCCTGGAATGACAGGCCTGAGCTGTAGACATCTTTTTTCTTGTGCGTATTCCTTGTTTGATAAAAGTCCTGACCCTGCCTTCCCCTAAAGAGTTCAAACCCATGTCTTTCAGGTTAGTGTCCTGTCTTCCCCTCAGGACGTATTTTCTCCCATTAGGGGATCTGGACATAAACAAGTGAAAGTCATGAATTTGGGGAAATTCTGGGAACCCGAGCCAGAAGAATGCTGCTCTATGCAGCAATTGGAAAACAGTTTTGTGGACAGGTTACAAGTCTGGCCTAAGTGAAATTATAATTGTGGTGGGGGATGGAATTTAGGACTCAGTAACTTTGTAGAGCTAACAGAAAAAAATAGAATGATTAAGTAATTCTTACTATCCCCATCATTGGCTAATGTGTTAGACATTACTTCCAGATACTCATTGTGGTTTGCCAAAGACTTTGACCTTGACTTATTTTTAAAATTTGAAGTCAAGCTAAGTAGAATAGCTGTTTTAAAGTCATTAAGAATGTTGGAGAGATTTGAATTTCTAGCATAAAAGAAATGGTGGCAACACTTCTAAAGTGAACCCATAAATTAATAGGGACATATACCTGTATTTAACTTTTTAAATTTTGAAATATTTGCACTTATAGAAAAGTTGCAAGAATAGTACAGAGAAATCTCAAAACCCTTACCCTGGTTTTCCCACCCTGTTAGCAGTTTGACACATGTGCTTTATCTTTCCGCATACATACATAATACTATCTGTCTGAACTATTTGAAAGTATGTTGCAAATGTACTCTTTACTCCTAAATAATTCAGTGATATTTTAAAAGAACAAAGAGGTTCACTTTCTAACTACACTGTAATTGGCAATATCTGGAAGTTTCACCATAAAATACTGTTTTCTAATCTCTGGATGTTCAATTTTGCCAGTTGTCCCATTAGTACAGTTTGTAGCAGTTTTCCTTATTCTGGTCTAAGATACTCTAGATGTCAAGTGGTTATCATGTCTCTCTTACTCTGTTAGAAAGGTTCCTCAGCCTTCCTTTGGGTTTGATGACATTGGTGTATTTGAAGAGTACAGGCCTTCTATTTTCCAGACTGTCACTCAGTTTGGGTTTATCTGGTGTTTCCTCATGATTGGATTCAGGTTATGTATTCTTGGTGAGAATATCACAAAAGTGGTATTGTGTTCCCCGTGCATCATATTAGGAGGTACTTAATGTTGGTTTATCCCATTAGTGGTAATGCTAACTTTAGTTACTTAGCCAATGTGTTGTTTGCCAGGTTTCTGCACTGTGAAGTTAATACTCCTCCTTTTGTAATTTTTAACTAATTTATGAGGCGATACATTGAGACTATGTGACTCTTCTATTTCTCATCAGACTTTTACCCAGTCTTAGCATCTGTTGATGATTTTTACCTGAGAAATGATTACTGTGATGCAAAATGGTGATTTTCTATTTCCATGATACCTTCTACATTTTTTAGTTATTCTACTATAAGGAAGAACATTATCTTCTTGCATATTTATGGATTTATGGATATATGGATCCTTATTTAGGATAATACATTTCTACCTTATGCTCACGTTGTCTCATATTTGTATAGTGGGGCACATTCAATCTGACTCTTGTTTGTTTACATATATATGTTTATGATATCACAAAGTCAAAATAGCTTATCTTAAATCCCTACTCTTGAAATAAAAAAAAAAAATTGTTCTGTAGCTAACCATTAATACATTTAGGAAGAGCATACATTTCCAAAACCATATTAAAAAAAATAAAGTTAGGAATTATAGTTAAAGGTTACCATAAACTGTTAACAATGTGAATATAGTTAACACTACTAAACTATACACTTAGAAATGGTTAAAATGGGGCCAGCCGTGATGGCTGACACCTGTAATCCCAGCTCTTTGGGAGGCTGAGGCGGATGGATCACCTGAGCTCAGGAGTTCGAGACCAGCCTGGGCAACATGGCGAAACCCCATCTCTA